TAATTGGAAATATCCCCATTCGTCTTGTTAGTTTCATCAAATTTGCTAAAACGCGGCAAAAGCACGTAATTTCGATGCAGTTCGATAGAGCATCGAACTCTGAGTAAAATGGTATATTGTTCAAATTTTTTTGATCGATTTTCAGAACTATAGCATTTGAGATTTGACTGGAGAAATATGTTATTGAAAAAAATATAGAAATCTTTGTTTCTCTTACAAAAGATTTTTTACAAAAAGATGCCTGTTTTTTGTTGGAAAAAATTATACAGCCATCTTTCTTTTTCTTTTATCATTTGAGTCAATATTTGGCTGCTGTTCCTCCTTTCACACGAATACACGATTGTAGACGTCGTGGCATACTTTCCGCTAATCTATTACACGTTTCAGGCTTGATTTCGGACCAGAAGTTTTTTATGATAGTCTCGTGCTCGTGTGCTGTGCTGGGACGGTGATGAGTTAATTTTTTATCGATATAATCCCATAAATTTTGTATTGGATTGAGGTCGGAGGAAGTTGCTGGCCATCCCATAAGCTTGTATTTCTTTTTTTGAAACCATTGTTTACTAACTTTGCACGTGTGGCACGGGGCATTATCTTGAATGAAGTACCATTTTTGACCAGGTTTAAATCGTTTTTTGATAAACGATGGCAAACTTAGATTCAACATGTCGATATACTTTTTTCCATTCACTCGCCCCTTGTATACGACCAATGGACCGATACCTTCAGCAGTCATACATCCCCAGACAGAGACGCAGCCCCCTCCTCCTTGTACACGAGCACGAAAGTTGAACGATTTATCTTGCTCAGATCGAAGACGACGAACAAATGATCAATTTTTTCGAGTCAATACCGCAAAATGAGATTCATCAGAGAATACCACACATTTCCAATCATTATCGGACCAGTATTGATGTTCATGAGCAAATTTTAAACGTACGTGACGGTGACGTGCTTTTCGAAACGGCTTTCGTTTCGTAACGTAGCTCCTGTAACCCGCCTCAACCAACCGATTTCGTACCGTACGTGGTGTAACGACCTTTCCCATTCGACAGAACCCACTCAGAAGCCAATTCCCGACTAGTTTTATGACGGCCTTCTTTACATAAAGTGAGTAATCGACGGTCTTCTCTCTTGGTTGTAGCACGGTTGCGACCTTGGTCCGGACGGTTAACTACTTCAATCTTCTGTTTTTGCTTCTTAGAAACATTTTGAACACAATGTCTCGACACACCAACCTGTTTAGCAACATATCTTTGGGAAAATCCAGCACGTAATAGTGCGTAAACGTTGGTTTTTTGAGTTAAAGTAACTCTTTTACGGCCCATTTTACATTCGTGTAGGTGGAGAAAAGAAGGAATGTCGAACGCTGTTCTAAGTTAATTTCATTCATCATATGGGAAGAAAACATGCACATGCAGACGAAAGAAAGCAATCATATGCTTCTGAGACATAAAATCACGTGGAAACGAAAAAATTGGGCTAAATAGGCTAATGTGGGTCTATAATTTTTTCCAGCAAAAAACAGGCATCTTTTTGTAAAAAATCTTTTGTAAGAGAAACAAAGATTTCTATATTTTTTTCAATAACAGATTTGAAAAGAGCAGACTTAAATGCATATACTCATGTGTTTTAATCTATCTCAAATCGTTAATTAACAAAATAAATAAAAGTTAAAGACTAGGCTCGAACCGGGCTCTATAATTTTTTCCAGTACTGTATTTGAGTACAATTAAAAAGTTCATAGCCCAGGCAAGATCCATCCAAATTACGTCAGAATATCAAGATGTACTCTATTTTACCTGCTCTATATGTTTTATTCCTTGAGAATAGTAAAAAACATTACGGTACTTGGGAAGATTTCTAGAAAACCCTTTCAAAAAGCAAAGTATTTTCTGTGGGTTTTAATAGCTTTTATTGAGCTGCATTATATAGAACAGGTAAAATAGAGTACCCAGGAAGAAATTTTGGACCTCCGCAGGTCCTTCTAATCTATTAAGAAGTTCTCATAAGTTAGATTCATGCGACACAATAAGGCATTCGAATGCATTAAAGTAGACAATTTCGCGCCGCT